TATTTGTATTATTAAAAATGTATAGTTTTTGTACAATTTCTCTATCAATTGTTGGGGTCATATTGACCCCAAGGACCAGATTTGTAAACAGGAAACGAAGACCTTTTGAGTAAACATTTTCAAATCAGGAATAATATCTAAAAATAGAGATGCACCGTTTGCAGTTTTCTTGGCCGATTCGGATTTCTTTTGTAAGTGTGACCTGCCGATACCGATTTTTGCTGCTCCCGATTTTTTTTCCAAAGAACTATAATTGATAGCATACAGTATACTATTCTTCAATGCAAAATTATAAACTTTTTCATTAAAAAGACAGTAATAAAATAAGAACAAATAAACTGAGGCTGGGCGATTAAACGGTATCGGTATTTATCGACGGTACACCATTGTTGGTAACAATATAAAAAATGTTCGATATAGCGCTCGATATTTTCATTAACAACCACCACAACATTGCCTGACATCAAATGGCAAACATGAAAATGGAACGAAACTGCGCTTCAAAACTGAAATATTATCATATTTATATAATGTTATTTTTAATATGATGATGACCAAAACATTATTTGTTCATCCTTCAAATACTACCCTCATTTATAAAAATACAAGTTTCAAGATGTAGGAAAACATGCTTATTTAACAAAAATATATATTTGAATATTTTTTGTTTTTTTAATCAAGGAAATTTCTCTGGCATTTCTTTCTTTTTGCTTTATCGAAAATGTACCGAACCGTGACACCACTGTATCGTCTCGAACCGATCGAACCGAACTGTGACACCACTGTGTCGTATAGAAACGACGACCACTGAGTCGTATCGAACCGAACCGTGACAGCACTTTATCGTATCGAACCGATCGAACCGAACTGTGACACCACTGTGTCGTATAGAAACGACGACCACTGAGTCGTATCGAACCGAACCGTGACAGCACTTTATCGTATCGAACCGAACCGTGACACCACCGAGTCGTATCGAACTGAACCGTGACACCACTGTATCGTATCGAACCAATCGAACCGAACCGTGACACCACTGTTGTATCGAACCGATCGAACCGAACCGTGACACCACTGTGTCGTATCGAAACGAACCGTAACACCACTGTGTCGTATCGAACCGATCGAACCGAACCATGACACCAGTGTTGTAGTACTCGAGACTCGGACTCGTCTCGGACTCAGTCTCAAGACCATATTTTAATGGTCTTGGTCTTGTCATGGACTTGTCCATTTGGACTCGGAATTGACTCGTACTCGAACATTTTTTTTTTAAGGACTCGGAATTATTCCCGAGTCCACTCGAGTTCAATTAAAAATATTTTTCATGATTATTAATGTATGTAAATAAAATATTTCTTTAAATTGATTGACACGCCCAGTGATTGGTGATTTTCTAGTGCGCAACTGCTCATGACAAATTTTAATAAAATTACTTTTAACACCACCTACTATGTGGCCTTTTTACCCAAAACTGATCATATTTTTTCAGTATAAAAAGATCATATAAATTCAGTAAAAAAAAAAAAAAAAAGAATTTCTCCAAGTAAATAAAAGTAAATTAGGTAATCAACCCTCACTGGTCTCGGTCTCGACTCGGGCTCGACCGTCTCTGGTCTCGGACTCGACTCGGACTCGACGCTCTATGGACTCGGTCTTGACTTGGACTCGACTCTCTCTGGTCTCGGTGTCGACTCGGACTCGAGTGAGGTGGTCTCGACTACAACACTGCGTGACACCACAGTGTCGAATCGAACCGATCGAACCGAACAGTGACACCACTGTGTCGTATCGAACCGAACCGTGACACCACTGTGTCGTATAAAAAGTCAATAATTATCGATACGAACGATTTTGGTACTTGCGACTCACAAGCTGCTTGAGACTGAGAGGCGCCTTATGTGCCCTCCACTTCAGTGGCGCACTTTTGGTCTGAGCACCAAACCTGCATGAATGAGTAAAATCATGCTCAATCAGCACTATTTACCAGAGTGAATGACACGAGTGAGTGAGAGGAGGCGGGTGTGTGTCACTTCACCATCAGAAAGAAGAGAGCGAAAACCGCACCTGACATTTTGTCTATGCAAAATTTGGCCCAGATGCAGTTGACATGATTGTGAACATGTCCAAAATTGATTTTATGGCCTGTCAGATATAGGCTACTTTTTCTAATACTCATGTCAAAAATAAATAAAACCAAGAAATTGAATCACTTTTTCTGGGGTTTTCTAAGCAATAGATCAAAAATCCATTTTCTTATAAATTTAAAAGGTTTTTTATCAAATGAGACCATGTACTTGATGATATTTTTTTTGTAGAGCCATTAATGACAATTAGACATGAAATCATTAAAATGCCTTTGGGGTGTAAGGAATCAACAGAAAGCTTACATAATATATAAAGCTTGAATGATTGGAATCTCTATTGACCAATCGTATGATAAGAAATCGGTAGTCTGTATCTGCTGCAAAAATCTCCCCTCCTCTAGCCCTATACAGTGAGAAATGGTTCTTAATAAACCTCAGGTGCTGCAAAGAACCACAGAAGAACATTTATTGGTGGTGCTGGTGGTTTTTCAAAATCTGCAAACTTAATTATTAAACATCAGTGTGTAAACATCAGCCGTAACTTAGCAACCAATGCTCTTGCAACCAACCACAAAAACTAGCATTGTGGTAACAAGTTTTGCAGACACAGTAAAATCCAATTATACTGTAAGTGTTCCACACACAGTAAAAACTCTTTATAGTGTGTTTTTATAGTTTTACTGCATTATCATGCAGTTGTATCCGTGTTTCAACTACTTCTCGCATCTTGCACAATTATCACCACCATGATTGTGCAGCAATAAAGAAGTGTGAATCCTGAATCTGGACCTCATCCTCAAGACAATGACCTACCAAAGACAGGACAATTTAAGGGAATGGTCTGCCTGAGGCGGTCTCCGTTTTGACCCGGCAGCACGGGAAGAGCCGGAGGAGATCGAGATGATTTAGAGCTCTTCTCGAAGACGTGCTGACAAGGTTAGAGGGTCAACACAGACATTAACAGGTCAGTGTGTGGCCCACTTGGGGACAATTACTCCTGGCCGCGGCTAAGTGGACACTTGATTGAACACGACAGTGCTGGGAATGCGCCATCCCTATAGATAACAATTCTAAGGACCATTTAGGATAAAAAGCCCTTGTGATACGCGCCTTTATGGCCCAAATTCATCTTTCTTTGCGCTTTTAAAAAAGAACGCTGGCAGTGTGATCGAGGGGTTATACTCTGGGCAGAAGGAAGAGAAACATTAGAGAGAGCTTGCATCCTTTGATGCTTTCAGAGAGATCACACAAGAGCAAATACAAGGTGAGGGGGTTGCTCGAGGAATCCATGAGATGGTTTATCTCAGTTTAGAAGATTGTTTTCCTCATCACGCTGAGCCTGTTAATATGTTTTGATTGTTTTGTTTGGGTTTATAGGCGATTACAAGCTGCGATATAATTAAATTCCAAAGGAGAGAATCCGTAGCATTTAAATTTTGATAATTGAGGTTATATGCACATCCAGTTATTGCTGTTATTTGTAAGGTGCTAAAACAATCAATTTTACTGCTTGTAATAAAACTCTTTGGCTTGACTTTTACACACTGGCATCTTACAGTACAGGGGAGTGATTGCAAAATCGAATGCAAACGGACAGATTCAAACCTCTCTCCAAAAGCCCAAACTGGACCACTTTAGACAGCCAACTTTATTATTCTACAATTTTTCCGACTGAATTTTCATACACACCAATGCAACAAACCAACATGTGCTCTTTCTTTTTTGAAAAAGCAGACTTTCATTAAACATGTAAAACGAGAATTGGCTCCCTTTTAATTCATTAGTTGGAATTTTAAATAAATTAGTCACACTCTACATGAAGTGGAAATGAAACTTGCTTGAAATAAAGAGGAATTTACTGAATTCTAAAGGAAAGAAAATCAACACATGTAATGCATTCTTAAAAACGAAGTGTTTTCCATCCTGGTCCAACCATTTATTAAATACGATGTGATATATAAACTAAATACAAATCCATCCATTTCAACTTTAAATTGTATTTAATGGATTTAAATGCAAGCGAAAATGTTCTGTTTGTAAAACTATAAAATGTAACAGGCTGCCAATGGGGTTAAAATTGTGATATGCAGTTAGAGCGTTTGTTTAGTAAAAAGCATGAGAAATGAAAACAAGGTCTTTGGGTTGTTGTAAGCTGAGCTTGTATTGTGAGGGTTTCGGGCCTATGGATTGTTGGATTGTTTACTTAAGTCTTGGCAGCAGAAAATCATCTCCACATTGTCCTGCTCCTGCTGTCGGCTCGGGCAGCATCGATTGCAGCTGTGGCACTTTAAGGACATGCAGAGGACACAGTTCACTTAAGTTTTGACAAATTTTGAGAAGGATTTCTAGAACACTTCTTTTTTGTATATTTTCCAGGAAAAGCACTGCCAATAGTAGCATAGTACCATTTCAATTTAATTTGTCAATAAGGATATCAAAACATGACTGAGGTAAGGTAAAACAGCCATACACTGTTAATACTAGTGACCAAATTCAACAAAGACGTATATCGCACTGTCCGGCATAAAAGCCGTGGCCTTTACCCAAGATTTCACTGGGAACATTTCGTACAATCTGACAAGCAACAATTGTAAAAGACTGTACAAAACCCATAGTGCGGCCCGCCTACACGCCATGAAGTGTAAAAGTGTGGCAAAAAATAAAAAAGGTTGGGTTGGAAGGTGAAAGTGAGAAAAGGATAGACAAAGCAGAAATGGAAAGAAAAGAGAGGAATAAATAGGTATGGAAAGGGTAGAGAGAAAACACCATGGCATTGACTTCCACACCTCCCAAAATAGAATTTTGTTTAAAAAGACTATAGAGTGAGAGGTGAAAAAAAAAAAATCACTTATCCAAGTGCCCACTGGACTATCCCATTACCACAAGAGCCCAACTACAGACATTTCCCTTTACCTCAGCTCGCGCAAAGCCGAGACACTTGGAAGTGATGTTCTTGCGAAAGGAAGCGAGCGTCTCCTCTTTTTACCTCTCTCCCCTCCGCCCTCATTAACTGGGCTCCATTCCAATTCATTTAGGAAGCCCCGAGAGCCTGCCTTCCCCTGGAATTTACCGAAATGACACAACATTAGCAGATTTGCATATGCAAAACGGGTCAAGCAACAGGCACTCGCTGCTCAATTGACCTATTGCTTGTTGTGGCAAGCCGAGTTATTCCCGCGGAACAATTCTGTAACCAAGTGGGCGTCGTGCGAGTGCCATCTGGGTAACACTTATTTAAGGCTGGCAGAAGTCCCGTGGCAGCCCGCCTGGCGAGGAGGAGGAAAAGGGGAATAAATTGCATCATTTACTTGACATCCATTTGCCGTCGTACCCGTTTAAAACCCATGACTAAATAATTTGGTTATTCGACTGCCAGTTACCACTGTCATCCAAATGGTGCGGTGCACGCGACAAACAGCAAGACTGTCAAACGCACTGATAAACGACAGGCCTGTGATGTTTAACCATGCCAAAATACATAGCATATTTACGTCTGACAATCTAAAGACTTTGCAGAATAAACCAGGTGGGTTTGAAGGACCATCTAAAATTAAGGAGAATAGTCGTCCTCAAGAATGATAACTTCAGATGTCATATCTTTAATCCTTCAGAATTCATTTGTCTGAAATTTAATGTTTGTTACTTTGTGAACCGACTTTGGGTTCTTGAAAGGCGCTATAAAAAATAAACATTATTATTATTTGGTTGCATTTGAAGTTGATTGTTGAAGGTGTACTCCATTTTTTGCTGCTAGTTCTGCTGATTGTTTAGAGCGTTTTAATGCAAAACTCTTTGACACATCGACCAAAATGGGTTATTAATAGCTGATCAGGGTGATCAATTGCCCATATAATGCAAATATAAATGTAGCCCCTATATTTAATAATTCTCAAAAAGAAATATATATATATATATATATATATATATATATATATATATATATATATATATATATATTTTTCAATGCTGATGATCTCAAAATATATAAATATGGGCTGATATTTTCAGTGGTGACCAAAAAAGGAAAAAAAAAATGTGTGACCAAAATGAAAGGCCATTTAAGTAGCATTATAATCCATTTTTAATGAAAAGAGCTTGTGTAACAAGAAGTAGTATGAAGTTTCTTACTGTTTCAGTAGGTCAATTGCCAGGTGATTGTAGACAGTATGCTTAAATCCCTTTAGTCTCGTTGAGGTGTCTGAAACCACAAATATTACAACCATCAACAATCAATGTTGCAGGACAGAAGAATATGATTTTTTTATGACTTATACCATCAATCAAGAAAAAAAAAAAAAAAGAAAAAAAATGGTTCCACAATCTGAATTCAATTTAGGTTGACATTTGTTTTTGAATATGGATCAATTTTTCATTAATCAAAGTGTAATTTGCTCTAACCATTACACTAAATCATAGCAGCAAAAAAAAGCTGTATTGTACCAATAAACTGCAAGTGATAAACCCTCCTGAAAGTATCCATTTAATCACTGTAAACAATTGTATATCAAGTACACAGAAATGCACTCAAAATTCCTATCTCGCTGCTCTGTGATATTAAATCAAAAGATTGATTCTCTCATTTTCCAGCTTTGAGGTTTACTCAGCATTGGCCAATTGATCAATCCACGCTTCTGAAGATTGTACATTATGCTCATTCACAACATCAAAATGCTTTTAGAGAAATATCCAGTAATCCCCAAGTACATTTCTCAGCCCTCTTTTCTCAACACTTCGCTCTGCACTAGAAAAACAAAGCACCAACAAATGGTGCTTCATTGTTACGGAGTTTGATTTTTTCTTTAGAGCTTGGATATCACCACCTGTTTGACAAAGCACATATTTTTTTTGTCAGGAACTTTCTGGACCTGAAATAAATGTTGTCATAGCACTTTAGTAAACATTTCAATTCGTCTGGGTAATCTGGTGCACAAGGAGTAAAACCCCCTGTATGGTAACGCCAACTCGTGGATATAATAGCCAGTCAGTGTGTTTTCTAGCCTTGAGAGCACGTCAAGCACAGATTGGGCTGCATCCAAGAGCATCTTTCCAACAGCTTCTTGAGGTGAGGTTACAATGACTCAAAATGATTCACTTTCAGTTGGTTTCTCAAAGCGGCAAGCAAAAAAGGCCGTACGTGAGCGCTTTCATGTGAATGAGGCAGGTTCGATACCGAGTTGAGCGTTTAAGATAATTACCATGCTTTCATAATGATCCATCAGATGAGACCTTACATATCAAATAAGCAAGCAACACGTCAATTAAGACCACCAGAATTGCTTCGAAGTTCAAACCAGCAAATAGGCCACATTTTGGTATAAACACACATACATACAGTTGTAAACAGAAGATCAAAGAAAAGTTCCATCGGATTTTTTTTTTCTCCTTTGAATTCATTTGAACATTCGATTGGAAAAAAAGAAACCTTCTCGCAAAACTAATTACCATGCAAGCTATGATAAGGTAATTAGTACTCGAGCCGGTTTCCTGATTAAACATACTCTAATTGAGAGCATGCTGCTATTGAGAGGGAGGAAAAACTCGATTCCCTTGGAGGGCACTTAAACGATGTCCCTTTAACAAACATGTAAGCAGAGACAAAACGCACATTAATTACCAGTCAACAATATCGGCATCTACTCTATCCTTTTCTAAGTTCCTGTTTCTCCTCTGTTTTTAAAGTATTTTTTAAGCATTGTAAATCATTTTCAGAACTTGTTACTCTGATGGCTTGGCAAGTGGTAAAGTCTTCATGTTAAAAAAATATTATAATATTAAAATAAAATATTTATATATTCATTAAATATAAAAAATGCAAATCAATCTAAATATATATTTTCTAACATACAGTCTATAATAATATCCATTCATCATATTTCCTTTGGAGCGAATATGAACTACTGGCCCTGAGGTATGGACTTGAGATCATATCAAAGTCAAGAGCCAACAATGTGAAAAAGTTTTGAATGTCTAACGTGTCATGATAACGCAACCTGTGATGTTTAGATTGATCATCTACATTTCTGTTATGTAGTGCAGCAACACTGCTCTGATTTCAGAAGTGCAAAAGAGGTTGATGTGTAAATTCTGAACTGACTCGGTGAGAAAACTGGTGTGAAGGTCTCCATAGCCAGCTAAGTTCATATTAAAGCATATGGCTCAGATCTTTTGATCATGTACATGTGTTTTTATGCATTTTAAACAAACACATTAATTTCTGCAATGTAAAAAAAAAAACATTGTTGTTGTGAAATTTTATGTCGCCAAGATGATGTTTTCAACCTTATAAAGTTTACCAATATTGAGTTTTTATGATATCAGATAAAATTGGTTGAAAATTCTTGAAAAAAATAAATGGTGTCAACCGGCAGAGATTTTGAATTATCGTGGTTAAGCTGCGTGTTTCAGTTTCTGGTGTGAAAAGATGGAATTTTCTAGAAAATTATCTAAAATGTTGTTCAAATATTCTACAATTTAAAAGTAAGTATAAACAGAAGAACTTAATATATATAAATATGAACGTGAAAATTGATACAATTATTACAACAATGATGGTCTCGTTGTCATTTTTGTTACATTTGTCATTATTGCATCATTGTTGTTTTTGTTTAGTGTTGTGTAAGCAGAATTAGTAATAATAGATAATAAAATAAAAATAAACAGAGAAAAAAAAAACTTGTTATAATTGAAAGTAGATTATATCTGGTCTGGGCTAGTTTATATATTTTATTTTTTTCTGTCATGTCGACGAGGACATCTAATTTGTAATTTATTTATTTTTATTGTAAGAATGGGGTAGGAGTTTATAAGATTTTTTTTCTTCATCCTACTCCTGTTCTTTTTGTCATGGAATGTACTTTTGTTGTGTTTGTTGGACTTGTTAAATTGTTGTTGTGGCATTTCGTGTTGCATTACCATGAAAAGAGAAAAAAAATAATGAAGCTCACCTGATGTTACTGTACTGCACCATTATGAAAGCGATTTTTACTATGGTACATTTAATGTTTTTACTGTGGTAACTTTAATGTTGTCTAAGCTGATGCCTTTGTCTTGTTGTATTGTGTTAGTTTAGCAAAACATGCTGAAGTCTATTGCGGATAAAGCTATTCATGCATGCGTCTAACTACAGTTACATATGCACAGTCAACTTGCTCGCGAATGTTCATGGACCGGCTTTGACTGTTCCAATATGGCGGACGGCTTACGTATAGCAGGCCATAGAAAAAGCCACTAATGAGACATCCATGTATATTTTTGCTGATGAGGACTGCAAAAGCGAGGAAAAGGAACCAGTGTAGATGACATCAAATCTCATAAATATAGCAACAACAGCCAGGACTGCTTCTAGACTCGTACTGGATAACATCCTGATTAAACCTGCCAGATCCAACAAAAACAAAAGTTCAAGATGAACTGAACCCGGTAAAGACATTTATTGTTTGCAAAGTCTAATAAAGGAAAATAAAACTTTATTTTAGTATAAAATGTTATTTTTTGCCCTATTATTCAGTTCATGGATCAAAGTGGATCAAAACCTTTCATCAAACTTAGGACAACTTTGATGAACTTTTTTGATTTACTTATGTTGACTCCTGTATTTAGTAGCATCAATTGAACATGGGCAAATTGAGTGCCAATCACAGAACAGGACACAATTAACAAGCTTATGTTGATTTAAAATTATTATCATCCAATATAAGATTCCAAATAGTCTTTCCAACTAATGAAAATCAATATTTACATAGTATAATAATAATAATACATTTCTTACACACATTTCACAAAAATTGCACAAAATCACATCTACTGTCCTGCAACAGAGCAATAACCAGGTGGTCACCCAATGTGCATCAGTAGTATTTTGGATCAGTGCATTCAATCTTAAAGTGACAGCAGCCTAATCTGCTACCGTTAATGTTAATTGAACAAATTCATTGCTCTTGACTTAATCAATTTTGTTACTTTAATAAGAATATATATATATATATATATATATATATATAGTATATTTAATTTACACAATGAAGACTAGGTTTTTAGTACATTTGATTACACAATTTATACACCTACTGTATCTAGTGCTCGCAGTAGGTCTACTTCATTTGTATCTTTGTTCTATAGTAGTTTCTTTGATCCTATTTTTTCACTGCTTATTTAATTTTCAAAGAGCTTGAGCTTTCATTTTTTAATACAATTTTTACTCATGTTAGTTAGGCTAGAATTAGTTTTTTTGTGAAATATCAACTTTTGATTTCATATAATTTTGAAGCAAAAATAACCATATTGTCATATCATTATCGTAAAATAAAATTACTCATATCATGATACAAGATTTTGGTCATTTCGCCCATCCCCAACTAATTTTATTTAAAAAAAATTATTTAGATAAAAAAAAAAATGATACAAAAATATTTAACCTAAAATAAATACAAATGTATCCAATGAATTCATTTTTAAAGACACAAATCTGATTCTGAACTTCTTCTTTTTTTTAATACACAAGAAATGAAAACCACTGTATGCAGTTCTTGCACACGGTAGCTTTTCCGGCTGTTTCTTTCTGAACTATCAATATCAATTCCAATCTTTGCAAAGATTATGCATGCCTTGCACATTATGTATTACATAAATGTCAACAAATGCAATGATTTGAACTCCTGGAAAGAATAGCATCTATATTGTTTAAGGATTCCGAAATTCAGGCATTGGCTGCTGCTCTTCAGTGAAAAACTGATCCAACGAGCTGATCCCAGCTCAGCTGTCAACTTCACAGTTGGCATAAAGGGACTTGTGAGTATCAAACCATTGCAACATTTAATCCAGCCTCTAATCCCATCCATTTGGATTTACATTCCAATAAAAGGACATACATACAAGACGACTACAGCTAGAAGTCAACCATTTCCATGTCAATAACAAATCAGTGACCTTCTCTTTACTGTACATTGATCACCAAACCCTTTCTGCATGGATTCAAACTATTTTCATTCAATTGCGTAACATTGTTTTGAATATAAATACACTACCAGTCATTCATTTGGACAGAAGTAAATGAATTTAAGTTTCACACCATCGTAAAAACATTTGATCTAAAGGCTCATGCTTACATTTTTGAAAAAAAAAAAAAAAAAATATATATATATATATATATACACACACACACACACACACTTTGGCAGATAAATATGAATGATACTAAATATGAAAATAATTGCATTAGTTGGTACGAATATTGAACGAAAAGCAGCTGTCAATTGTCCAGGATAAAAAAAAATTATAATATAATGTATATATTATAATTATGAAAAATATTAAATAATAATTGTCACTTACAATCTCATACTTCTATTAGTGGTGTTTATAGTTTTCATGATTTTACTATTATTCTAATATGTGAAGAAAGAAAGAAAGAAAGAAAGAAAGAAAGAAAGAAAGAAAGAAAGAAAGAAAGAAAGAAAGAAAGAAAGAAAGAAAGAAAGAAAGAAAGAAAGAAAGAAAGAAAGAAAGAAAGAAAGAAAGAATCAGAGATGAATGACAGTGAGATTTTTAAAAAGAAAAAAAAGTGACAACTCTCAGTCCACTTGTATAATTTTCAACAGCCTGCAAGAACACAACTGATAAACTACCTGGATTCCTCAGTGTGACAACAACAAGCTATAATTAACTTATAAAAAAAGGTATTGCCGCACGTTGACAGCGTTCAGAGTTGCCATAGAAACAAGAACCTGGCCACATCCTCACCCTAAGCCATCCAGCGACTGGCCAACGGCCTGGCTTCTCAAGCCAGGCAACCCAGCATGAAAGCCACACGCAACAGAGAGACAACAGCTGCCCGAACACACAGCAAGACACGGGACGCAGCAACCTCTATCCCGCGTTATGATTCAGACATCACAACTTCATGCATTATTCGGTGAGCTGTCTTTAACCTCTACGATTCTCAGATTCTCATACACTTCACCTCAGTGAAGATGTTAATAACCTTTCTGTGCCACCACACACACATCTGACTCATCATGATCTTCTAGCTAAACGATTGCGAGTAAATCTGAAAATACTAGCTTTGGAATAAAAAATGTGCACGCCTTTCCTGTAATACCATGACGGAGTAACATTATGCACAATCTATTTTTGGAATCTGAAAAAGAATATATGGGTAAAGAAAATACAGCATGGAGGCATAAGATTTGTATTTTTTTTTACAACAGGTACTTGGTGAGTACAGTTGTGCGCTCCCATCATAAAAGGGATCAAATAACTCAAGCTCTCAAGCTGTATCAAGGCCGAAAAGTTGTAAAGAAAAGTTCAGCCAGTGCTTTTAATCCTGGGTCAGTCTGCATTTGCAGAGGTCCATTTCTGCATAAGTGAGCACAAACTCCAGTGCCTGTTCAAACAGTTTCTCTCTCTCTCTCCCTCTCCTTCTCTTTGTCTCTCCCTCTCAGGCAGCTCATGACAACGGCCCAGCAGCAGCACTGTTTGATCTCCAGTGTTTTCCTTAATCTGGGTTGTCAAGGTTCGCTTGTTGGAGGCTGTTTACTTTACTTTCCCTACAAAAAAAAAAAAAAAAAAAAAAGCATTCTTTTTCTTTCTTTTTTTTTCTTCTTCTTCTTTCCCTCAGACAATGACTAATCCAATGCTGGGTGCTAAAGCTGCTGCCTTCCCATTTAAAAGTGTGATTTGAAAAGACGTTTAAAAGTTACATTTATGAGAATCAATGCCTTTAATAATGATATGCCCTTTAATAATAATAACAATAATATGCATACACAAACCAACGCAAAAAGAAACATTTTATATTCCTTTCCACTTTCAAAATAAAAATATGCACTTATTGATTTACATCTGGATCCATTGAATGTGTGTGCAAATAGATAAAAAATATAGAAAATGTAAAATAATTGTGAGTATGTAGCTACAAATGTTCTGGTTATTTAATTTGTGAATGTTTAAACATATATTTTTTTAAATAAAATAAAAAAGATAATGGGTCTGGGGCCAAATATAGTATTGTGTGAAGAATATTTCAGGCTAATTATAAATTTAAACTGACATTCTACTAAACGAAAAGAGCTACTTTTATTGTGGTGAAGTACAAAAAGTAAAAGTTTATTTCCTCCACTTTTTCAAACATTTGATAGACTTTTATTAAGTAGCCTAAATGTGTGTGTGGTTTACATTCAGAAAGTACGAGCAAAGGCACATTTCTCTCCGACACTTGTTTCAACACAGTGATGTTGAAAACCAATTTTATTCAAACTGCATTTCGACTGTGTCTCAATTTCAGCGTTTATGGAACTCCCATTTGATCCTCAAAATGCTGTCTAACTAGGCAGCTCACTAGGTTTCGAAACACAGCCTGCTCTTGCTGAACACTTAATTCTGAACGCTTCTGCTCTTAACTCCATAACCCAACCGGATGATAAGTAACGTTACTGCACTGAACTTTTTTTAATGCACGGGGGAAACTGTCGCGATATTCTCAACATATTTCGTTTGCATTATTAATGTTATATTCAACTCCAAACGAAGAGATGCACCAGCAGAAGTTGTTTGTGGTTGAGTGAACACGTGGGGAAAAGCCCCCTATACAACACTGAACACCGAAAGAAATCTCGGCTCGCAAACTTTTACGCCATCGATAGCAACGAATCGCGATTTCAATAACTTAACGTTACTTTGTTTTTACGCATCACGTCACATCAGAGCTGTCAGTCACACATATGTTGTTTACACAAACAAACAAAAAACGAACAACATAACTTGCTAGCAAAAGAGCTAACTTCTGAAAAGTACTTAAAGACTACAAATAAAATACATCGCCCGGACAGCAATTATTATACACGCGAACAATAATGGTGTTTGCTCATTACGCCAATATTGCTTAAAAACAATAAGGCAACAATTAGATAACAAAGACAAACTGTGTCCATATTGTGCTCTAAAATGTTGCAGAATGCAGGAGGTGAATTAACTTACCGGGGTTTGACAGGGACGAGATAGACACGGAAATTTGTGCACGATAACAAATTCAACTCTTCACGAGATCTTGTATACCATGAGCGCGTGCTATAAAACACACTGTAAATAACCAACAAATATCACTCCGCTGGCGGTACTATAACTTCAGCAGCAAACACTGGACTGGGAGCGACGCTGCAGTTTCGAGCCCGTTTCACGCCGTCTTTCTACACGGAGCTGCTTAGGATGTTATTACAGTTTATTGCGCCTTGCACACACACAGAAAAGAGAGAGAATCGCGGATTTGGATGTTGTTATTTTTTGATGTTCTACGCCCGTGACGTCACATCCACATCCACCTGCTGTAAACAACATTCATTGCCAGATCTTTGCGCTGCAAAACAAAAGTGTGACGAAAAGTCAGAGATATGCTATATGCTACGCGAGTTACATTGAAGATAGAAGACCGTTTTTTTTCCACGGTCGGCATAATTCTAATAAATTTAGCTTGCTATTGTTTGGTAATTGCAACTGATTTCTGTCTTCTTTTCCTCGGAATTGTCCAGTGAAGCAAGGGGGTTCAGGAAAGTTCAGGAGAAGGACAACCCATAATAAGGGAAGTGCAGAGAGTCTTTAATAGTCTAAAGATCAGCATACTTCATTAGAGTCTATATACTCAATAGAATAACCAGATAGGCGTCACCAAATTTACAATTCACGTAACATTATACTACAATATTCACTTAAGTGTCCTGGGCTGGAACTAATAGCCTAAATAAATATTATATTAAAATGTAAATACATGTATAAGGGTACAATGTGTATAAACTGGAACTCAAAATATACATATATTATATAGCTGATATGAAATACTAATATATATATATACCCAAAAGTATACCAGCTATACTTACAAGGGAACAGATTTAGGTGTAAAGTATACCTATAACTTATAGAATTAGATAACTCGTTAAAAAAAGTTTTGTTTTTGTTTTTTAAAAGAGGGAAAAGAATTGGTCAGTTGTGTAGGCCGGTTAGCATTCAGTGTGAGCAGCATTAATCTGAGATCTTGGAATAAGGGAGAGGTCTGACTGTCCTTGATCAAGGACTGAAATGCACAGTAAATTTTGAAAGCAGCTAAATGTTGCTTTATGGGCCCAAGTTGATGTGTTTCACGGATAGAGAGCGCCACCCTCTGGAATATTGTGTTTCCTGCAGACACCTGGAGCTAAATTTATAGTTTTGTCATCAAATAAATGCATAGGGAAACATTGATTGCTAGAGATAAAAAGAATGTTAGTAGTGAAAGTATAGTTAATTTCAGTTAATTAAGAGTGGAAAGTGAGTTCAAATTATTTTTGTCAATTTTTATTATAAAATAACTGATCCAGTGAATTAAGTAATCTGGAACTTTTTTTTCCTTGCACTTTTAAATTCTGATATTTTCTGTGAATGTCTCCCCACTTCAAACCATAAAAAAAGACTTTAATCACTTGATAAGCCAACTAGAATATGGCCATTTTATTTTTATTATAGTTTTATTAATATTTTGAATTAGCTTTTAGTTTTATATTTTATCATTCCTGCTCTTTTTAATTACATTTTTAGTAATTTTATGTGCTTTTTTCATTCACTTCATAACATTGCTATTTACTGTAGCGTTATTTATTTATCTCAGTTTTAGTTTTGATTTATTTCAGTTAATAATTTTAGTGCTTCAACTTAAACTCACATCAAAATATTGCCAAGGAAACATTTCTAATTTTAATTTTCATTTAGTTTAAGTTTTTCAAATAATATTTATATTTTATTTTAGCTTTCAGAAATGTTATATATATGTTATATATCGTTTTAGTTAGCAATAAAAAATAATCCAGTAGCAAAACATGTATATCCCAGAGCTACATTTATTTCTCAGATAGATTTTAAATCTATTTTATGTAAAATTGATTGTTGGAATAACGTTTCTTGTCATTCTCCAAAAATCCTTGTACCTCATAAACACTGTTTTGACATTTGCAGAGCACAAGGAGATGCATTACAATGCTTTGTCCCAGGACATATTACTAACGGTATGAAAACTAATGTCAAGGGGCGTCACTGGCCTATATTCTTATCCAGAGAAACTACACGCCTGCAGGCATGAGAGGGATACATCCATCACACACACACCCTTCATGGAGAAATACTCCATTTTGACTTATTTTTCTACTTTGTGTCCACTGTCAGTAACAAAGAATACTTTAAAGAAAGAGATAGACATCTTATGATATATATAAAAAAATAATTAAAAGATAACGATCAGTACCTCTCAAAAGTTTGGAAACATAAAAAAAAAAAACACTCACCAAGGCTGCAAAAATGTAATCAAAAATACAACAAAAACAGTCAAATTATGAACTATTATTACATTAAAAGAACAGTTTTTTTTACTTTAATATACTTAAAAATGTAATGTATTCCTGTGATGCAAAGCTGAATTTTCAGCGTAATTTCTCCAGTCTTCAGTGTCACATGATCCTTCAGAAATCACTCTAATGCTGATTTGGTGCAAGAGAAAATGTATTATACCATCCTTCAGAAATATATATATTTTTTTTCACAATTTTTAATAAATGTTTCTTGAGCAGCAAACCAGCATTTCAGAATGATTATACATCTTTTTTTTAAATGCATCAGTGTTTTGTAGGTATTTGTTCCTTTTGTATAAAACGTTTTTTTTTAATTTCATTAACTTAGTACAGTCATGAATGCATGGCCTCATTTTTACTGATGACACAACACTATCAAATAACACAGATTATATTGTATTTGTACACCTTTTGGTAAATAACATACCCCATTAAGATTAAAAGGTCACCACACTAATAAAACACAACTTTAATGCATATTCCAGATGATGAAAAATACAGGTCATTTTCTCAAGACTGATATGTTGTAGGGTGTTTCCTAAAACGAAAATAAAAGTAGGCCTATTTTGTTTGGATCGTATTGACATCACGTAGATTTGGCATGACTGATCCCCTTGTGGATCAGGTCTTGTTGTGATAAAGTGGCACTCTAAAACTAATTAATTGAGGATTACTATACGTTGTGTAACATCTTCTTAATATGCACTCATGCTCAAAACGGCAGTAATTATAGTTGTGTTAATTAGGTAATTAAGCAAATGAAACGAGAGGACTCTGTTCTTCTTAAGGCTCACATGCGTTATCCGTTCCCGAGACAAAAAGGAACAATAGCTGATATTTGCCTATTGTAGAAAAAAACAAAGAGCCCTTTATCTCCTTCTGACATGACACGGGTAGGACAATTTCACATATTTTCACTACTGACCTTTGAACAATAAGATGACTTTATTATTATTATCATTATCTATACTTAATAAGAATGCAGAGCATAAAAAGCACATTCCGGTTAGCATGCTAAGTAAGTTAATGGCAATGAAAACCACAAATATAATCAAAAATACACCTAAAATCTAATTGAAAGTATTTCATTTTCAATCATATTAACATTTAACGGAATGAATCATTTAACATTACACAGACAAATTGTATTGTACCAACAACAAACAACATTTTGGGTCAACATGTATATGGCTATATAAGGGGAAATGTTTTTATACTGTAACCAGTTATTTAATTATTTATTTTAGATGAACTGCCCAAAGATGTCATGTTCATTCCAACAAAGACCACAAGGTGGAGCCAATATCAAATAAATAAATAAAACCTGTGACGACAACAGTGAAGGAAAACATATAAACACATAATGATGACTATATTTAAATTGTTGTTTTTGTAAATGTGTTCACATACACGTAGCCTAACATTAGTGACTGAATCCTTTCATTTATTCATTAAACCCCATCTTCTGCTGAGACTGACTTCACTTTTCACCTTTATCTTTGGAGTCTCAAAATATAAAATATATTAATAATAATTTCAAAATTAACTTCTTTACCATTTAAAGAGTTAAGATGCAGACAATTGGATCAGACCGAGCACCTCAACACACTTGTGGCCAACCAGCATAGTCCACACATGATGAGGGAAAACAGAGAGTGCGCAAAATGGACCTATTATGCCCTTTTCACAAGATGTAAAACAAATATGTGATGTTCCCAGAATGTGTATGGAAGTCTTAGCTCAAAATAACCCAAAGATAATTTATTATAGCATTTTAAAATTGCCAAATTAAGCCTTGTGCAAAAACGCACCATTTTAGTGTGTTTCCCTTTAAATGCTAATGAGCTGCTGCTCCTGTCCCAGTTTTCCGACCAGAGAGGTCCTCTATGAGCAGTATTATGTAATATGTAATCATACCTGACCTTCAGTAGGAACATGAAACGTCTTCATTGATAACTGAGTAACGTAACCAACCATACCAATCTCGTTTGGCTGCTCTGTTGTGATGTGCTTTCCTTTACAAATAAAGATTCCACTTTCAGCGCGATAATAAAAAAAAAAAATATATATATATATATATATATATATAGCTGGACGGACTCATGGTGCGATCACATGCTATCACAAACTTTATAAGTCTAACATTATAAGCTTGACAAATTCAAAGGCAATTTGGAAAACAAACACGTAATACTTTCTTCTGGATGTGTAACTTTAGCTCGATTACGAACAGTTGGCACTGCTAACGTTACATCCTTCAGGAGCAACTTTTTAGTAGCCTAAATAGACAGAGCTATGTGGATTCTTCTCGTCAGTGCATCAATGGCGGATGTGTGGAACTCTCAACTCGCTGTGAACTCGATCAGGGGTGCGTTTCCCAAAAGCATCGTTAGCCAACTATGGTCGCAACTGATTCTTGAAACTTTGGCAAAAACATGTCCCACTAAAAAAAGTGCTAATTATGTTGGAAATTAATAACATTTTCATGAATGAAAAGAATCAAGTTAATAATCAGGGGGTCCTTTGCACATATGTAAGGTTCTTTTATAGGTTTATTTTTCATTTTTATTATTTTAACGATTATATGCTGGCCCATTGCCTACAAAATCAGCTGTCCTCGGATAGGAGATAATCATTTCAACTTGATTAAAAAAACAAAAAGGAATAATTGAATTGAATAATATATTTACCACACAAAAGAGTACATTGTAATATCTATTAAAAACTACAAACAGTGAGTTTTGAACAATATTTACTATTATTTTGTGGTTCAAAATGTGTCCCACATATTCGTCACCACCGTCAGATATTTATAAAAAGCAATAAAATCAGGCAACTACAAGGTCAACTACATTCCTCCATACCCCATTTTCAAACCTTCAGCTTTACAGCATGCTTCAAGATCACTCAAGCTCCCGTAATTTTGCTATTTTCTCTTAAACTTGTTCATATATTTGGGCACTGCTACTGTCACAACCATAACATGTCAACACCG